GACTACAATATATCGGTGCCAATAAGGTATGCCAGCGCACGTGGTCTTCTGAAGAAATGGGAAGGTTTAGTGTAGATTTGTCATCACCGTCAAGCCATTATTAATTAATTCTGTATATGATAAGAGAATATAACTCCTCAGAGCACGCACCCTGGTATTGAAGATACTTTTTGCTATTGGAAACGTCTAAAGGCGTGGCGTGGCGGCCATTTACCATGATGTATAGCATTTTCAGTCAGATTAAAAACTCAGCCTACATGTAAAATATATTGTAGTATGTCGGCGTTGGTATTTACTTCGAAATTATTAGTGTACATTTTGGAAGAAATATTGTAATCGGTTTCTAGGGTGAATAGATGTTAACTTTAACAATAAAAAATTTCAGTACCCGTCTTATTAAACATCCAACCGAGAACACTTTTGATTAAAATAATATTAAGACTTTACTTTCGTTACAAAGTCTTTGCAGTCAATTATATGTGAACCTTCTGGCTTAAGGAATAGAATAGAACATGACCTTGTAACCACGTTTCTTTATAATAGGGCTTTCACTATTGTTGGGAAATAATACAGATGTGATATCAGTTGTGGGCAAACAATTTGGAGCACCCGAGGGATTACCCGATATTAAGGGTTGGGTCCTGTTGGGTCGGAATATATTTTTGCCTTTTATAACATTATTTGAGGAGCGTAACTTACGGGTGGTAATTAAGTTTTAGTTTTGATTAATAATAATTGTAGAGACTGTAAATTATTTACGTTGCCATTTTGATTGATTTATCTAAGCAAACTTTATGTAGATTAGTTTTTATTGTATAAGGCAAAGAATGTACTTTTAACCTGTCTGTATGTTCGTGATGATCTTATAAATCAAAACTGATTTCAATGCTGATTTAACGATTAGTCTAAATATTTTGACGCAACAAATGAAACAAAAAATTCGATATGGTAGTAACCGTAAAGGTTTTTTGAAGAATTTGAAGTGGCAATTCGGGCATCTCAATATTAACATGGATTTGAAATAATCATGTCGGAATCACATTGAAAGCTGAACCAAAATCTATTACTGGGGTTCAAATAAAAACATATTAATTATGTCATAAAACGTAGACTAAGCTTAAACCTGGACTAAAGCTGATACTGCCACTTTTGTTTGCTAAAAAGAAGTCAGAAACCACATCAGGTTTACGCCAAGATTGCGTTTTGGAATAAGGAGCAATATGTTTTAAAATAGATAAATTTTGCCGACCCTCAGAATAATTCTCAATAAACCTTGCTCAGTTCCCTGGAAAATTATATATACAGTGTTTAGCGATATTGCTTGGTGGACAATAACAACTGGACGTTAATAAATAATGTAATATCGTCGCTTGTTTCGCTAACAATAGCCGACTGACAGTTTGGTTGGTAGAGTTTGGACCTTTGTCCTCGCACACGGCCTAAAGTTAACTCAGCAATTTCATCATATTTAATCAGCATCGAATAATAACGTTCCTTTCAGTGACAATTTTCTACTTGCAAAAAAACTCTGAGGCAATAGTTTTTAATCAACAAATTGGTAAAGTTCCTGATTTTCGAACCTTTTCCCTAAATTGTCAATTAGTCACTTTCAGCTTTATTGGAATAAAACAAAATAAAAACTGTGCGGTACAAAAATAATAACAGGTCATTAAGGATAGCTCATTATTTCGAGCATAAATAAAATACTTAAAATAAAAAATGTAACAATGGAATAACATTATCCTGAAATATAACTAGAAAAAACTCCACGCGGACCAGGCAGCAGACGGGACTTAAACCCGCACCCTGCGCGATCCGGGCGAATGCCTATCATTTATTTATTAAAAGACAATCACAGCTCGATATATTTCTACATGAAAATTTGTTTGTAAGTTTGAAGGCCAATTGCGATCATCCACTTTGTAACATCGAATTTATCTGAATATGTACTACCTATGTGCTCAAGGAAAATCAATTAAGCATTAACATATAATTACATGTGTCTACACCATATAAATAATTATACATAAAAACATATAAATAAAAATATAATAATTATGATTATACATATAAATATGAGGATAAACGTGCATTTAATATCAAACCCTGTCTCTAAATTATGGACAGAGAGTCTCCTGTGCTAGTCTGGATTGGCAACAATGCTACGAGTAAATGTGTAAAAAGCAAATGGAGTTGATTCAACATGCTTTTTAAAAACATCGTGAATAGGGATAATGTATCTTTTTATTAAATAATTATTATTTCTCGTTACATTTCCTTTAACATTTCATAAGTTCAATCAGATTAGCTATTACTTGAATTTCTATGAGTATAAATATCAATCGATCCCAACAAAAATTGCAGTTTCTTGTGAGCTGTGGGAAATCAATTACGTACGTGCGTTACAAATTTTATCTCAAGGTATTTTATCTTAAAATAAAAGAGAGATCATATGTCAAACTTCATAAACCGACTAAATTTCAAATTTATTCAAAACTAGTAAAAAGGAGGATTCGTTAATATTATTATTTTTAATGATGGTCCGCGCATATATCTCCTATGTTTTAGGTTAATTTAATTAGATATGTTCTTCTCAATTTTTAGATTAGTAATAAAATTTAAGAACATAACATTTTTCTTTCAAAATATTTTACCTAATACCTTAAGAAAGAAAGAAAGAAACAATTTATTGACCAATAACATTGAAAAAATAGAAATAAAATCATAAATAAAAACACAGAATAAGGTTAAGTAGGTCCCTGCCTCAGCACAATGCCAGAACGACATCAAGGCCGCTGTGGCGTTGATATTCTGACAGGGTCTTACATCATATTATGCGCTAATCTCAGGAACTACTGATCCGATTTGAATTATTATTGTTTATTTGGTACTGCATTTATCGAGGAAAGGCTATAGGCTATATCTATATATAACATAACGCTAAGACTAATGATAATAATAATAGGATCGGAGCACTAATAAATAATGTTGCAAAAATAGGAAAAATATTCCATTTGTGAGCTTTCGTTGCATGCGCTGCGTAAACGATATAAATAACGATAACGGAATTGTTCCCTTTTACAAAGTTGTATAAAAAAGTTCGCGATAACTTAAATGTCTTTTATTATTACTTTTGAGAGTTTCCCACTATAACCTTTTTCTTTAAATTAATGCGGGTGAAACCTGCGTTTTGCGGAGGAAGGAATATAATAAGGCGCGCTATCCGCATCATTGGCGATGAAGAGGTAACATTGAGGGTTTTTTTGGAATGACAGGCACCAGGTGGCAGTACTGAGACGAAAGGTCTAATCACCCGTCAAATCGCATATGATCTCATAGTCTATGAATCTGGTCTATGGAGTTGGCGCTAAAAACTTCATACAAAAGACCTCACGTAACACTGGCGCCAACTGGTGACGTAAATTTTCATAAACACCCTCATTACGCCGCGATGTGACATCATTAAGCGCATTCTACCGACTATACCACAGCGAGTGTTCTGAGGAGTTATTCTCCCTTATCCCTCCATCACCTTTTCTTCAGAGGACCACGCGCGCTGGCCTACGTTGCCACCGTCTTACTGTGGCCACTATTCCTACACGAACAAAGAAATTTGGTGACTCATTTCTTTGTCGTAGTATTCGTAAGTGGAATTCTTTACCCGCGCAAGTGTTCTATCCTTCCTATAATCTGGGGTCCTTTAAGAGAGGCTTGAAGAAACATTTTTGCGGGCCGGCAAGGTGAGGATGATTGGTGTAGCAGTTTATAACTGCTGTACCAACTATCTTCGCGTTTAGACTTTATTACCACTTAACATCAGGTGGGGTAGAGTCATTTGCCTACCTCTATATATATAAAAAAATGCACACAAGCGTAATTACAATTTAGGTTTTGCGAAAGTCTCACATATAAAAATTGACAGCGCTAAATCGGACATAGATAAAACTATAGATTTTTTATTGACAGATCTAAAATGTGTACTGGCTTGAATTTTAACAAAACAATATGAATTTTGTGATTAAAAGTGGTTAAATAGAAATAATATGTTTATAATTCTACTTATGAGAAATTTTATACCATCCTTTTGTAAGTTTAATATTTCAGATATGTTTTACAGCAAATTACATAATATTTTGTCATTTTTGATTTCTAACATACACTCATGCGACTTGACTCAGTCTAGTTTAATATCCGACGCGCAACTAGTTTTGTTTTTATGCTGGCACAACAGCGGGGGAAATTTGAAAGAGGGGAAAGCTGTGAATGCCGACTCCCCTCCTGGCCGCGTTGCTCTATGGCTGTGACGTATATCTTGAAGCGATTACGTTATGATTCCGTTGAAGTAGGGAGTTTCATACAAATAATACTTAACGGCAGCCTCCTTTTTCTGAATAAATAAATATTTCCAACACACACCAATTAGCCTAGCCCCAAAGTAAGTACTGTAAGGCTTATATTCTGGGATGCTAGGGTAACGGATATGATACATATATTGTATATATATAAGTATATTTATATAGAAATACATATTAAACATCGATGACTGATGCTCTTATTCATCACACAAACATCAGCCTCCACCGGGATTTGAACCCGGGACCTCTCGAGTCGGCGGCACCATGAAACCCGGCGTACAAACCACTCGGCCACTGAGGTCGTCTAGCTGATAAGTGGAGAAAATTTATAGTTTTTTTTTCTAAAATCAATGGAGGCTATGATGAAAGCGCAGAAAAAGATGAAGGAATAGAAATATCAATTTCAATTTTACCAGAAGTTATTTTACTTAAATTCTGCTTAGCTTAGCTAAGAAACGCGAATTCTAGAATTCACTAGAAGTGATTTACATGTGAAGGGAGTGGCAAACAAGCATTTAGTCCGCGAGATGGTAATGATGTATGATTGTACCGTACGATATTACTCGCACTTTGACACTCCTAATCCCATGCTCCAACCCGTATCCTTACTTTTAGATATTCGTGTTAAAAATGAATACAACTTACTTGATTTTAGATTGCCTCATGAATTGCTGAATCTTCCTCGCCGCCTGATTCTGCCGCCTTTGGGAATAGGTCCTCCTACATTACAGATAGCAGTCACTTTAAAATTATAGATATATTTTTACTGTAGAAAGATTTGTTTTCGAACAAGGCCTGTGGTAAATTCATTATTCTATAAAATTTACGTTATGTTCTCAACAACAAGTTTTCTTCGTCATCAGCCTATTAAGGTCACCACTGCTGGGGCACAGGCTTTCATAAATGGAAATCATAGGAAAAATGACCCACCTCGCTGGCCCAGAGCGGATTGGCTAACGACTGAAGATACAGCTAAGATCAACGATGTGGCGGCGACATCTACATGCTCCACATATAACTTACAAGGAGGAAATAATCACTCGCCTCCTCAAGAGGTGGCGCTACCGGCGTTGGGATCAATAAGTAATGAAGCCTACATCGCGCAAGATAAATTCGGAGGCAATCATTTAATATATACAATGCCCGACCAACATCAGTAGAGCCGCGGCCCCCGAGCTACCATCACCCAGCTCGGAGGAAGATCTTCCCCTTTGGCCTTACTAAAACGGCTTAAATTGCCTTCCGAAGCACGGAGGAAAAAGCTAGTTTGTTCTCTGCTTACAGGGACCAAAATAGTCCCTAGGGACTATAAGTGCCAGACTCGAGTGGAGTGGAGGTGGAGTCGAGCTATTCTGGAGTGGCCACCTAGAACAGGACCCAGAAACATAGAGCAGGAAGAAACTGGATCGGAATCGCACAACACCGCGCAAATTGGCGCACCATAGAGGAGACTTATATCCAGCAGTGGGTAGATAAAGGTTAAAGAAGAAGAAGACTAAAAGTGATTTAAATTAGGAATATGGATATAAATGTAAAGAAAATGTTACTAGAAAAATATCCGTTCGGTCCAGGATTCTAGTTACTAATCTACTATTTTAGTAACACATCCAATAACCACCTGCGCCATCGCGATCCTCATCGACCGGCTCATCGTACCCTACTTCTCTTTAACCATAATATTACTTACTTGATAGGCGTGTTGGCCATTCGGCGCTCGCGCATCGAACGATATCCGCGCTGGATCACCGTTGCTGCGGCATGCATTTGCTTCAAGTACGCGAACTAGACAAATAATTTTAAATCATTAAAGCCAGCATAACAATCAAATAGCGGTTATAGAGGAAAGTACAGTCCAGATCTCTTTGGCAAACAGAATTTACCTTTGATAGCGCCTATTACCAGGTAATAATTAAAATCATTAAATAAAACTAGTTTTTACGGGTTAATGCACGAAAACTTTATTTATTTATTGACGTGCATTAACCCGTAAAAACTAGTTTTATTTAATGAGTGATGTGCGTGAAAACCTAAGAAACAAATATAATTAAAATCATATTTTCATCGTCTTATCGTTTCTGATGACTTCTCTATATCGTGAACTAGTGGTCCGCCTTCGCTTCGCTTCGGTGTAGATCTGTAGTGTAGGTAAACTATAGTTTTTGTTCTCAGGCTTGTATTATACACAATGAATTTCTCCATATAATTATAAACCTACCATGAAAACTTATTTAACTGATAATGAAAATTTTGTTGTGTACTTTAACACCCGTTGCACCGAATGCAATGCATTGAAAAAATCTTTTTGTGTCAGAAAGTGCATTAATTGAGGAAGGTTGAAGGCTAAATGACATCACGCTGCAACCAGTAGGAGCGGATCATCGATGTAAATATTGCAAAAACGTTTAAAAATATTTCATTTGTGAACTTCCGTTGCGCGCTCTGCAATAATGATTGATGTTACACAAAAATCACAAATGGCGGAATTGTTCCCCTTAAAAATCTATATATATAAAACTCAAAGGTGACTGACTGACTGACATAGTGATCTATCAACGCACAGCCCAAACCACTGGACGGATCGGGCTGAAATTTGGCATGCAGGTAGATGTTATGACGTAGGCATACGCTAAGAAAGGATTTTGATCAATTCTACCTAAGGGGATAAATTTTAAACCGATCGGGCTGAGACTTTGCATGCAGGTATAAGAAGAATCATAGATGAATGTCATTGTGTATAATACAAGCCTGAGAACAAAAACTGTAGTCTACACTTCAGCTCTACACCGAAGCGAGGGCGGGCCGCTTGTCCTATACTAAAGTCCGCAACAGCATATGCCGATCTTTTAAGTTTGGCTCACTACAACCTTTTTCCTCAAATTAACGCGGGTGAAACCTTTAGTTGTGAAATAACTGTAATAGTTAGACATATTGTATAGCAGACTTTTTTATAGATATTGATATCCTCTAAAAAACTTTAGTACATTACTTTTCTCTATTGTCAATGACTTACGCAGCGTGATTGGTATTTTTTTCGCACCCTGGTTTACGTTATCGAAGTTTTTATGCGGATCCTTAACTTTTTTGAAAATACTTTATAGCCTATGTTCATCAGGGATAATGGAGGATTCTAAATGAAAAATATTTTTTCAAATCGGTCCAGTAGTTTCGGAGCCTATTCAATACAAACAAACGAACAAACAAATCTTTCCTCTTTATATAATTGTTTATTTATTTATTTATCTTTAACAAAGTTTCTACAGCGGTTTTTGTGAAATTGAATACAATAAAATATAGATATAATCTTAAAGCCAATTACAGAAACTCATTACGTACACATTAGATATTAACGGCGTTATTATATGTCAGTAATTATTACACTTAAATTAATTTAATATTAAAAATTGCATAAAAATCATATAATCCATTAACATAAAAATAAAATAAAATTAAGATTGGACATAAACATAACAAAAAGACAAAAAAGAAGAAAATCAAACACTGAATATCCATATAAAAAGGTTTTCAAGAGTTTGTCACATGATAACCTTATGAAGTGTGAGTGGGTGTGTGTGCGCGTATGTATGTGTGTTTGTGTGTGTGTGTGTGTGTGTGTCCATGCAGCTGCAATGCTATGCCTGGTAACGAGATGGCGGACGCCGCAACCCGGGCACTACATCATTCAAGTAAGTACTTCAGTGTGAGTGCTTGTAATTGTAGGCCTACATGGCGCTAAGAATAAAATTAAATAAATAAATTAAATTGAAATTGAAACAAAACAAATGTCAGGGAAAATTATTTAAGCCGTAAAATGCAGTGCAGTCATTTTTCATATTATTGAGAGTACGAATTGATAATTATAAATAAAAATAAAAATTCAAATAAATTGTATGAATAATAATAATAAAATAAATAATAACAAAAGCTTATTTGGGTCTTGCGGTTATAATTTCAAATAATGTCGTTTTAAAAGCAGCTCTCGACAAAGAGAACAGGTCGATATCAGAGAAGTACTTGTTGTACGTTTTTGGCAACCTTACCGTCATATCGTTAGCCTCGTAATTTGTACGCACAGATGGTACATGAAAAAGTTGCGTGTGGCGTGTTCTTTTTGTAGGAGCCTTTAAGGAAACTATTCTATTTATCAACTCGGTGCAGTCCAGTACTCCAGAACATACATCGAACAAAGTCATCATGTCCCGCATGCGTCGCCTGTCACCAAGAGTAATGAGACCGTATATGCTACATGACTCCCCATAACCATTGGATTCATTTTTGACTCTAAAGTTTAAATATTTTACGAATTTCATTTGTATTCGTTCAATGGCGTGTTCGTGTGTTATGTACTGTGGATTCCACACGGTGCTACAGTACTCAAGAGTACTTTGAACATAAGCATAATATAATACTTTCATGCAAGCAGCGTCCTTGAAATCTTTCGTAACTCTGAAAATAAATCCTAAATTTTTATAAGCCCTGGTGGTTATATCGTTAAAATGATCGGCGAATGTTAATTTTGAATCCAAAGTTACCCCTAGATCTCTCACAACATTCACTTGAGTCACTACTTCATTATTAAGTTTGTAATTGCACAGAACAGGATTTTTGCGTCTTGTAAACATAATATGCACGCATTTTGCCGTATTAACTGTTATCCTATTTCTTATGTAATACTCTGAAAGTCGGTCCAGATCTTCTTGCAATTTCAAACAGTCATCATATGATTCAACTTTCATATAGATTTTTGTATCATCAGCGTAGAGCAAGAACTTAGCATGCTTAAAACATGAAGACATATCGCTTATATACGCTATATAGAATAGAGGACCGAGTAACGAGCCCTGCGGCACGCCTGACGTTATATTGACATAGTCAGAGCGAATCCCGCCGATCACAACAGCCTGTTTACGATTAGATATGTAAGATTTTATCCACCTGTACAAGTCCCCGCGTATTCCCAGTTGATAAAGCTTTTGCAAAAGAATGATGTGATCCACGCGGTCGAAGGCCTTTTCAAAGTCCGTATATATTACATCCACCTGTGAACGATAGCCCATGTTACGATGCAGTTCACTTATATACAAACTTAAATTTGTAGTTGTTGATCTCCCCTTGATGAAGCCGTGCTGTTCGTCGGGTATGCCTTGCTTTAAGATTGGATATGTTTCCCTGTAAACAAATTTCTCCAGAGTCTTTCCGAAAACATTCAAAATGGAGATAGGGCGATAATTCGCAATTTCGCGTTTGGAGCCCTTTTTATGGATTGGAACAATGTGCGCTTCTTTCCACTTAGACGGAAAGACTCCTTCTGAAATAGATTTATTGTAAATTAATAATAAAGGGAAAGAAAGTGCCGCTGCACATTTTTTTGTAAAGAAAGGAGGTATTTGATCGCTACCAGCTCCCTTACAGGGGTCCAAGCCAGCGAGTTGCTTGTAAACCTCATCTTGAGTTACAGAAAAGGAATGAACTGAATCGCGTGAACTAATCGAAGGAAGTCCCTCGTCCGAGTAACTCCCTGCTGGGTGAACAAACATTCGTTCGAAGTAATTGTTGAAGGCCGCGCAGATGGTAGGACCGTTCGTCAACTGCTTATTGTCATACGTCATTGAACCAGGGTATCCCGTATTACGCTTACGCTTCGAATTAATATATGACCACAGTAATTTAGGGTTAGACTTTATGTTACCCTGGCAAAGACTTATATATCTTTGATAGCAGTGATCTTGCATGACTTTAGCTCTTCTCCTCAGCAAAGAAAAAACGTCATAATCTATCGGGTTATTATACCGTTTCCAACGATGATGGGCACTCTTTTTCTCCGCCAGCAAACAGATGAGAGCACGACTATACCACGCTGGGTATCGATTAGATAAATTAGTATCAACGGTGGGAACGTACCTATCTATAACATCGTTTAAAATTGAGTAAAATCCGTTGACCGCCTCATCGACAGTGCCCGACTTCAGCACACTCCTCCAATCAACACTCTCCAATTCCATGTTAATGGCGTTGTAGTCTGCCTTGCGAAACAGTTTTTTTTCCCTTGAACATTTTGGCACACAGTTTACAAATATATCGCTCGCATCGATATCGAGAGTGGTGTGCTGAACGTCCTCCTTTACCAGCGTAAAGGCTGAGAGACGAATGCCCACGTCAAAATTACTGAAGAACAGGTCAAGCGTATTTCCCACGTTATTCCTGTACGTGTTACGCTGGTGAAGTCCCAGAAAACACGCTTGATTTACTAAGTGCGCCCCCGCGTTCTGAAGATCGATGCATCCTTTTTTTAAATGTGTAGGTCCAGAATAATCCCACGTAATATTAAATAGATTAAAATCGCCAGCCAATATAAAAAAGTCATTATTAAAATTACTAGCGATGTCGGTAATTAAATTTATGCAATTGTAAATTAAAGACGGTAATTTGGGCCCCGGCGCCATGTAAGCCAGCGCTATGTGCAGATCGTGTTCTAAGTTTATTGTGCGGCCGTCCAAGGTCACCCAAATGCATTCAACGTCAGCGCGTTGCCACTCAGTGCGGGCTCGAGCGTTCAGTCGTCGATTGCACATAATCATGACACCACCACCGTGAGATCCGCGGTCGCGGCGAAATATCTCATACCTGCAATTTGATAATTCTGAATCCAAAATGCCGTCATTCAACCAAGTCTCAGTTATAAGAATAATGTCGTGATCCGTTCGAAGTAAATTATTGTAAAATTCTAATGTCTTGGTACGAAGACCACGAACATTTTGATATAAAATGTTTAGCTTACGTCCCATATTTTGAGATCTTTACTGTGAACCGTGCGTTTGATCAGTAATGAAAATTTCCGAAGCAAGTGATCTGTTTTTAATAATAAATTAATAGCCGTGACAGCATTTAGGCACAGTGTGTAAGCTGCAAAATAATTTCGCACATTATCACACGATAAATAATTATATACAATAATGGAGGTATTTGTGTTGATGTAAAGTGTAATAAGCTGTTTGTATGTTTTATGAGTATTTGGTAAGTATAAAGTGTTATCATGTGACAAACCGAAAGTCAAGCAATAAGTTAGGGACAGAAATTCATTACAGAATGATATGTTAATACTATTTAAATTCCTTTGATTATTTATTAGGTAATTTTGCTCAAATCCTCCTCGCAAGATATCAGAATGTATGGCGATTTTTCGGCTTTCCTTGTATAAATTCGGCAGTTTTTTGTCCATACAAATTTATAATTGAAATCTTTAGCTTTCGCCTTGCAACTACTTAATAACTGTTTATTTTTTACAGTTAGATGCTCGTTAATATATATATTACTGGATTCGCCATCCATTCCAATATCCTTTGAGGTAATTTTACCACATTTACGTGAAGCTGACAAAACTGTATCCTTTTTATTTCGATTGTGAAAGCGAATAACCAGATTACGTGGCTTTCCCTTGACTTGTCTCTTCATCTGAACACGATGGACGAAATCCAGGTCTTGGTGGTTAATTGGCACGTCTAGATGTTTAGCGATACTATCGATTATGTCAGGCAGGGATTCCTCACTGGTCTCTGGTACGCCGGCAATCTCAATATTTTGCAGTCTTGACCACTGCTCTTGCTTTAATGACACCTCTTCCATACTATTTACCTTACTTTGGAGCAATTTTATTTGATTATTGAGGTTATTAGTATCAGCCTGCAACTTCTTTGTAGTAGCTGTGCTTTTATCAACCGTGGTTTTAATAGAATCATACATATCGCTTACAGTTTTGACAGATTTTTCAAGATCAAGGAATTTGTTTTCTAATGCTTTTGATACGGCCTCAGTAACTTTTTCCAAGAAGCTGGGTAACTCACGGCGAAACGCCAGCTCAAATTCAGCTCTTATGGCACCCAAGATATCATCCGACTTTTCATCTGCTGCACAGCTACTGTTGCTGCTTGCTGATGTCCGACGAGTACGAGTTTGAGTATTTACAAAGTCATCATTGCAGCTCATGGTCACTTTTACCGGTGTGTCGGTGTTGTCTCCGTGACGCTTTCGTTTTGCTTTACATTCCGGACACACCCAAGTAGCTAGCAAAGATGGATTATTACCCTTAACAGCAACGCAGGCTCGGTGATACTGGAGCGTGCAAGATGAACTGGTGCACGTTACAGCACTCTCTTTAGCTTTTATAGAAATAGCACAGGCACTGCACTTCACAACCATTGTAAGGGCTATCTAGAAGCTGAACTTTGATATACTTTGATTATTATCGCAGAAATAATAGATAAAATTGATAAAATTAATTTTAACATTCAAAAACGAACCGTTCGCCGTTAATTTTGTATAGATGATCATGCATGACTGATTAATAAAGAGCTCAGATAACTACAGCTGCTTTTAAAATTTAGTGAAATACAAAATAATCTCTGCTAATGATGCAATTAAAAGCTATTTCTTCAATCGGACTTGTAGTCAAACCTACAGCGAAGATCTTTATCATAGTTAGATTGTCATACTTATAGGTCAGTGGCTTACCCAAATTACAGAATTTTGTTAAATAAAATTTCATTTAAGGATTTCTATAGCTTAAGAGTAAACAAGGATTTCAAAGTATGCTGGTCCATACTGTCACTTTCGTTTTATTAATATGAATAATGATTCTCAGCTCAGCATTAGTTCATGGTAGGTTTCTCTTAGCACTACTTAGTATCATTAAATAAGTACCTTGATGAGTACAAAACAAAAAAGATTTTTTTATACTAATAAAATTGTTTTTTTATTAGTTTTTACTGAGTTTACTAAGAGTGGCCATACACTGACAGCTCGAGCTAGCTAGCCAGAGATCAACTAGTGTCAACAGCTTGAAGCTCAACTGCTTGAGCAGTCCATATATGTGTGTATGTAGAAGACTGTAATTTACTATGCAGTCGCAGTTCAAGGTCCATCCCGACTGCTTCAAGCTGCCCATGTATGGCGGCGCTAAGACAAACTTCCCATCAACCATTATTCTGATCTCCAATAAAACGAAAGCGGCAGTATGGACCAGCATACGTTCAAATCCATGTTTACTGTTTAATTATAAGACCATCTCTCTAGCCAATGTAGAGGCTAAAGTACTAGACAGTCCGATAAGTGCTCGTCTAGTTGATTATTTACATCTACACGATGTGCAGTTTGGGTTTTAGCCAGAGAAACTATAGAAATCCTTAAATGAAATGTTTTAAACTACGGTGGTCCTGACCAATCAAGGGTGCTTCTATGACTTGTCGGCTTACGCAAACGAGACATCACTGAAGACAGTTGTTATTCCAATGCTTGAAGGTGGATTTTCTCCTAATTAAAAAGAAAATAAGGCTTGAAAGTATCCGTACCTGCTTGTACCGCCGGTAACAGTTCTGTATAGTGATGGCGGCGGCGGCAGCTCTGCGCTGCAACTGCCTACCGCGGTACTGCCGGTACGCCTTCTGGATCGTAATTGCGGCTGAATACAGCTCGCGTTGTTCTCGGTCTGCCAGAAAAAAACATGAGCTCGTAATGATCTAACTGTGTTTCAGTTGATTTAGAAAGCATAGGATATGAGGACCTCCGTGGTAGAATGAGGAGCTCGATGGCGCAAGTAGTTAGCGCGTTCGGCTGCGATCGTTCAAGTTAAGCAACTTTCGCAGTGGTCAGCCATTAGATGGGTGACCAAAAATTTACTATTTCGAGCTTCGCCGTGCTTCGGAAGGCACGTTAAGCCGTTGGTCCTGGCTGAATCTGCAGTCGTTAGCACCCACCAATTCGCACAGGGACCGCGTGGAGCGTCATTTGCGAAACTCCTTATTCTATCCATAGGGAAGGCCTGTGCCCTAGCAGTTGGAACATTAATAGGCTGATGATGATGATGTGGTGGAATGGTAAGTAACATCGGTTTTCAATGTGTCGCCTACCTAAAAGTCCTGGTTACGAATGAAGGCGCTAAAGGATGCTTATTCATATTTCTTCATCAGAATTCTTATCTTTTTATCATACATATTTTTTTTATAATTACTTATTACTCTAGTCACAGGATCTGTCAAAACAAGTTCAATGGTTCGAAATCAAATACGGTATTACTAGATAGTTTTACTTTAAAGCGAGTAAGAAGGCTCGTTTGTAGGATGTGACGCGTTAAATTTTACCCGCTTTCGAGTAAAACTATGCCGTATGTGCGTACGGACCATTAGAGTCATTACTTTGGGGTGAGGCGAATTGGTGTGACTGTCTAAAGCAAATTTGGCAGAGGTTGCCTTACCCGATAAAAAAATAAGAAAAAAACCAGATAACATTAGACAGCCGCGCATCTATTTAGTCTCTTAATTGTTTATTTTTTTTTCTTCCATCATCAAATTTTTTTAACTTTTCAACTAAATTTATAGGAAGCAAAAACATAATTAAGTTAGGTTGAGCAGTAATAACAAGTTTTTAAAAACACGCGAAAAAGATGGTTGATAAATTAGCTCCAAAAACGGCTTAAACATTTAACTAAATGTAACATTTCTTTTTAGCTAAGAAAAGTCAAAACCACATAGATGTACTTTAACTTAAAATGCTAGGTGGACCTGGGATTTAGTTATTAGTATATGTTACCGTTTAGAGTAAACTGGTGAAGTTGCGTTGAAATACTCCTGCAGCGTGGCTAAATGTGCCGCGGCGGTGGCGGGGCGCGGCGATGACGGCGACATTACCGAGCCCGTTATTATTATGTGTTACCATTAAGAGTAAGGCTGGAAAAGTGCGTAGTTGCATAGAGGAACTCCTGCAGCGTGGCTGAGGCTGGCTGTTGGTGTGCTGAAGAAGTGCGTGGTAGCCCGATGATCAAAGCGTGGATCCACCACAAATAGAATAGTTATTATTGTGTGTTACCATTCAAAGTAAGGCTGGAAAAGTGCGTAGTTGCATAGAGGAACTCCTGCAGAGTGGCTGAGGCTGGCTGCTGGTGTGCTTAAGAAGTGCGTGGTAGCCCGATGATCAAAGCGTGGACCCACCGCAAATAGACTAGCTATTATTGTGTGTTACCATTCAAAGTAAGACTGGAGAAGTGCGTAGTAGCGTTGAGGAACTCCTGCAGTGTGGCTGAGGCTCGCTGCTGGTGTGCTGAAGAAGTGCGTGGTAGCTCGTTGATCAAAGCGTGGATCCACCGCAAATAGACTAGTTATTATTGTGTGTTACCATTCAAAGTAAGGCTGGAGAAGTGCGTTGTAGCATTGAGGAACTCCTGCAGCGTGGCTGAGGCTGGCTGCTGGTGTTCTGAAGAAGTGCGTGGTAGCCCGATGATCAAAGCGTGGACCCACCGCAAATAGACTAGTTATTATTGTGTGTTACCATTCAAAGTAAGGCTGGAGAAGTGCATTGTAGCGTTGAGGAACTCCTGCAGCGTGGCTGAAGGTGCCGCGGCGGTGGCGGGACGCGGCGACGAGGGCGGTGGCGACAGCGTGGAGCCCGGCGACATCGAGCCCGTTATTATTATGTGTTACCATTAAGAGTAAGGCTGGAAAAGTGCGTAATTGCATAGAGGAACTCCTGCAGCGTGGCTGAGGCTGGCTGCTGTTGTGCTGAAGAAGTGCGTGGTAGCCCGATGATCAAAGCGTGGACCCACCGCAAATAGACTAATCATTATTGTGTGTTAGCATTCAAAGTAAGGCTGGAGAAGTGCGTTGTAGCGTTGAGGAACTCCTGCAGTGTGGCTGAAGGTGCCGCGGCGGAGGCGGGGCGCGGCGATGACGGCGACATTACCGAGCCCGTTATTATTATGTGTTACCATTCAAAGTAAGGCTGGAGAAGTGCGTTGTAGCATTGAGGAACTCCTGCAGTGTGGCTGAGGCTCGCTGCTGGTGTGCTGAAGAAGTGCGTGGTAGCCCGATGATCAAAGCGTGGACCCACCGCAAATAGACTAGTTATTATTGTGTGTTACCATTCAAAGTAAGGCTGGAGAAGTGCGTTGTAGCATTGAGGAACTCCTGCAGCGTGGCTGAGGCTGGCTGCTGGTGTTCTGAAGAAGTGCGAGGTAGCCCGATGATCAAAGCGTGGACCCACCGCAAATAGACTAGTTATTATTGTGTGTTACCATTCAAAGTAAGGTTGGAGAAGTGTGTTGTAGCGTTGAGGAACTCCTGCAGCGTGGCTGAAGGTGCCGCGGCGGTGGCGGGACGCGGCGACGGCGGCAGTGATGACTGCGCGGAGCCCGGCAACATCGAGCCCGTTATTATTATATGTTACCATTAAGAGTAAGGCTGGAAAAGTGCGTAGTTGCATAGAAGAACTCCTGCAGCGTGGTTGAGGCTAACTGCTGGTGTGCTGAAGAAGTGCGTGGTAGCCCGATGATCAAAACGTGGATCCACCGCAAACAGACTAGTTATTATTGTGTGTTACCATTCAAAGTAAGACTGGAGAAGTACGTTGTAGCGTTGAGGAACTCCTGCAGCGTGGCTGAGGCTGGCTGCTGGTGTGCTGAAGAAGTGCGTGGTAGCCCGATGATCAAAGCGTGAACCGACCGCAAATAGACTAGTTATTATTGTGTGTTACCATTCAGAGTAAGGCTGGAGAAGTGCGTTGTAGCGTTGAGGAACTCCTGCAGCGTGGCTGAAGGTGCCGCGGCGGTTGCGGGACGCGGCGACGGCGGTGGTGGCGACAGTGCGGAGCCCGGCGACACCGATCCCGACGAGCAGGGCGTGGACCCGCCGCAGTATCTAGTGACGGACAATACAAAAGAACAACCGGTTAAAGGCCCATTTTGTACCAATATTCTTAAATAAAGGTTCCGTACAACAACCTGTAGGTGTATAAAAATTAAAAAACAATGCGATGTGACTACAAATTTATAGTTTACGCATTTTTTCCTTTATCTGTGATATAAGACGTTGCTTCGTATTAAATTTCAAAATTCTGAGTTCACGATAGGTACCCTAAAGGATTTGATTCCCTTGCGAGTTTCGAAAATTTGCTGAAAGCGACATAAGCGACTGTATCTTTTGATTTCATTGGCTTAGAAAGGACATCGACGAAATCGGCCCTAGCATGCCCAAAAGAATGTCCTTCACTATTATTTTTATATTATTTTTTTAACTTATTAGCAATTAATCATTGTAAACGGACAATCTGTTTAAGAAAATAAAAAATAAAAGTTCTGTTACTAGATACTACAGTCTGTTCATCCAACTTGGCACTCCTTTTTATTGAAAATACAGCATTAAAAATCAACTAATAACTAGATTCAATAGGTTTCAGTCTATAATAACGATTTATTTTAATAGTTTATTGGCATCGTTAATATTTTATTATTAAACGGGTGATTCTGTTTAAAAGTTGTGTCAAGATTGTTTACCTTAATGAATGCAATATAGGCGACCATAGGTATTTATCAACATAAAAATAGAACTAGGTACCTTAGTCAATAATAGTTATTACTAGTATTTATATTATATTTATAAAAAGATTATTGCTGAAATTATGTAAATATAGTTTATACTCCCATATCATGTAATATCTGTTTATTTTTATGAAAATCATATTGATAACCAGGTACATACCTAATAACCGATAGTAAAATATAGAAACAGGTAAATGGAAAGACTGAACATTTCATTTGAAAAGAAATCTATTATTACCTACTACAGGTAGGTATAGGTATCATAGGTGCCAACTGACAACACTCATAAATCAATATGAATATAAGCATTTATTATTTTTATTATTAATTGCATTTTATGTTCATTTAATGCATATTATTTCAGTGCTTACATAGAGGTAAAAACTAAATCTATTCAGAATATATAAAGTGTACATCTTTAACGATTAAGTATAATAATTATAACCTCAAAATCTAATACATTCTGTAGTAGGCCACTGTTCCTTAAGTTGTCCGTATCTCAACAAATGCTTAATTAGAGTTTATGAATGATTCCGAACACAACTAGCATTTTCTCATTGCTGGGCGTTATAGGGCATTCAATGTATGGGGAACGAGTAATGTCCTTTGTTTTTTTTCACAGCTCCAAAAGACAGTAGACCTGAGTATTTGATATAAATTTCAGCTTGATACAGCATTCCTGAAAAAAGGGTCTTAACAGACAGACGGACGGACGGACGAACAACAAAGTGATCCTATAAGGGTTCCGTTTTTTCCTTTCGAGGTACGGAACCGTAATTAAAAGAATAATTAGCTTTTGAATTTGATTAAAGACGTTTAACACCGCGTAGTTTGAAAGATACTAAAATTTGATTATTTATTTATATATTTTGGTTACATGAAAGACCAACAGCATACTTAGCTTAATATACTAAAAATGAATTGTAGCGACAAAGAGCCAAAGAGCTTTAGTTAATATCAAGTCAAATACGTATAGGAAATGTGTCCAATTTTGATAATTTGTAATGTTTTCCCTACTATTTTAATTACAACTAGCAAACCCGGCGAACTCCGTTTCGCCACCAGATGGCTTCCTTTTATGTAACATTTCGTTTGGTGATTAAAAGAAGTTTTTTTTTTAATTTTTCCTGAATTTTCTTTGCTATAAACCTCACGGAGCCCGAGACCTTTCCAACGAATGCAAAACCGTGGAAATCGGTTCGTGCGTTCTGGGGTTATAGCGTCAGGAAGGAAAACCCGACTTATTTTTATATAGTAGATTACAGGAGACATTCCATATTTGTGACTTCGGGTAGGTTTTGTACACAATTAACAAATACAGGAAATTAAAAAGTTTATTTTTCTGCACAGGGAATTTAAATTGCCCCCAGTGTTTAGGAGCAATCAAATAGAGGAAATCAAAGAAGGTCTACAAAATATATTTTGTAAACTGCAGCCAAGCTGTTTTAGAAATAAATTCACCTGTAAGTGTTGTCGCAGAACTCGAAGCTGAACTCAGTGTTGAAGGTGGTGGCGTCATCGAGGAGCGGCACCATGAGGGTGTCTTCGCCGCTGGCGGAACTGCCTTCGAGCCCGCAGCCCGACAGCAAGGACGAGCTTTCGTTCTATGGGAATAAAATAATTATACTATAGAAGCAAGAAACAAAACTTAAAGAGTAGGCACTTCCCGTTGAACTAGCTAGACTCATCAGAAACAAAACAATAGAGCTTTACTTGAGTTAAGGAATATTTAAAAACAAATAAAACGTGATATACTTTGATGATGATTTGGTGATGATCGAACTATTTACAGAAGTTTAAACAGAACCAACCCTCAGTAAGCGAGTCTCACTAGCATTCAGTTTATCATTGTAAGATCAGCTAGGTATTTTAATATTATATTATTACATTTTCTTATTACACCTGTAAGAGTTTGTTGCAAGTCTGGATACACATATTGCTTAAATAGACTTATAACATGCCATTATTAGGATTTATCGCTTCATCAAAACATAAATAGCGATTATTATCATAATTATTACCAAACAATAAAGCCCTACCTTTATCCTTTCTGGCATTGCTGCTATTATCTGCTCCGCCAGCGTGAACACACGGTCATCCTGTTCCCCTGAAAGTTTTAGATGATGAGGAACCTCATACTACACCATTGTAAACATCTAGCATAACTACACATGTAGTATAACAAATTGCAGAGATTATTTTCTATCAAAGTGTAACAACAAAAAGTTCGAATTGGGAATCTCTAGCAAAATGTTATTTGTAACATCAACACAACATAGCTCTAAATACTTCATAGCATCTTACAAAATATTTTAGAGATAAGTAGTTTTGCTCATATTTATAGTATATTTTTTTTGGTAGGAAAAATCCTTTCTTGCTATTAGTAATAGTTTCAATTCATTTTGCCTTTGGTAAATCAAAAAGGGATTTTTTTATTCTGTAAATTTGGTGCACTTTCGTGCCTTCTATTATGATAAATATTTAGTTTAAATACATATTTTAAAAAAAAAATGGTTGCCTGTAAAGTCGGTTTTACGGGCGAAGATTTTACGTGACAACGTCTTTTTCTCGGTAGAATATTTATTGATATGAATATAATTAAATTGCACAATAGGAACAAGGAATTGAATGAAAATAAGAATTGCACAAATTTTAACTATAGAAATATATTTTGTTTACTAAAACATTGTACATGTAAACTTAAACTTAACACGAGAGACTCATCGTAACGTTACCGAGCGTTACACTTTTTCATAAGTGACTCCCAGCCGCAACCTAATTTAAGACGTTGTCACGTCAATATTTTAAAAGTCAATGATTTATAATAAAATATGAAATCAATTTATGGAATTAATAATAATCCAAATAATAAAATTAATATCTTCAACCCTTACCTTTTATTTTCATATTTAATAAAAATACTGCAAACTACACATAAAAAGCTTGGAATAAATATAGTTTCATGCAAGCAATTTAGCCACATGCAGTGTATCTTGTCACGTATTCTTGATTAAAATAGTGTTCTGACTTTTAACAACGAAGTCTTCATGTGTAGGTTCTGAAATTTAAGAACAAGGAAAGCCAATCCAACTGGATGTGTTTGAGGGTATTGTAGTTGTGGATAGACCAATACGAACCATTCAAAGCGACATCGATCAACAACATCGAATAAGCTAAACCGAACTCGAATGTATTTCTTCATTTATTTTATTTAACGTTATCATTAATAAAAATATCTATTTCGATTTTTCTTTACCATTAGAAGCTATATTAATAACATCTTTGGGTATAGGTGCAATAATTCGGTTTGGCTTTCAAAGGAAACTACAAACACCAACACTGAGGGAACTCCGCTCTTTACTGGATACAAAAATACAGAAGAATCTACAAGTGGTCTACCAACATACAGTGGTCACGAGGTCTACAGACTGGCGACAGACAGAGACAGAGATATAGACAACGTCAGTTGAAAGAAGAGAGCCAAAGAGGCAATGCACTACTACAAACACAACACTCAGACAGGAGCGGAGGGAAGCTGCGACTTGAAATGGTATAGATCAGTTGATTTAATAGTTTTTGGCTAATTCTATAAACATAATGGCAAAACTAACCAATTGTTTGTTTCATTGAAGACAGTTTTCATAGATTCACAGTAAAAATCGAATTCACATTACTTAACATGTTTATTTGATTATGAATCTATAATAACATCGTCAACATAAGCCACGTAGCCGAATCGGGTGAATTTTTCGGGGGTGAATTTTTCATTTCGTAGTTTTATGTCGTTAGAACATTATCAACATAGATCATGTAGCAAAATCTAGAGAATGTGTTAGGATTTTTTTCTTTTCCAATCACATGATCAACATTTAAGTCGCGTAGCCGAATTGAGTCTCTTAAATGTTGTTATGAATCTTCAATAACATAAACAACATCTGAATCGCGTAGCGGAATCGGGGAAAATTGTTGGGGATTTTACCGTTTACATACAAGGCGCGTAGCTGGATCGGGGGAATTTGTAGGAGGTTCCACTTCCATCTACATGGTCTATACCGTTTCTGGAGTCGCGACTGACCTTTTCGCGGTGGCGGGGGCGGGCTAGCGGGCGGCGAGCCGTCCGACAGCGCCTCCACGTCAATGAGCGGACTGGTGGCGCGCCGAGACGCGGTCTCGCCTGCGGAACATGCCCGCTCAATACCCATACCCATGCCTATGCCTATACCTATACAACCTATCACAACCTCAGTCACCGTAGGTGTTTCAAATTAAAACTAATATATCGCGAACAATTCCAAATTTAAAAAGGAAGTGTCGACGTTGAAGTTTACGTTCCAATTTTAAAGATAAAAGCAGGTGGTGATACTGATGCTTTGAAATTTAATACCTCTAATTATGGACGGGTGACCGATTAAATAAATCTTTTTTTCTATGAGGACGTATTTAGTGACGTAATGAAATAAGTTCTATCCACTATCATCTTGAACTTTTGGCAAAGCTTTATTCAAATATTAGCTATGTTTCCATCTCCTTTAACAAAATTATAGGAATATATTTGTAGATAATAGCTTCTTTGAGATACTGTTGAATATACAGTAGGTATTAATCGGTATATAGAATCAGAATGATTTAAACTTGAAGTATTTTTACAAAGTGCGAACTCATTTCATTTAAACCACATCTTGAATTACGAAAGTGACCGATTCACCTGGAATTTCACCAAAACCCCGAGAGTGATAGCAACGAAAAAAATTGAATTGTTGATCCCTTAAAAATCTTAGGCGCAGTGCCGATATAAATAAATAATCATCAGCAAATGAAAACTGAACTGTGTACCGGTGAAACCTCTAGATGGGACTTACAAAGGGCCAGATCCATACGTCGTCCTATCTTGGAATCACCAAGACTGTCTTCGGAGTTGTCAGAGTCTAATGGTAACGACATGCTCCTTTCCCACCTGGAACAGTTCAAATGGTTATCGATAACAAGATCACCTTCTTATGTCTGTTAAATTATGAAAGACTAGAGTATCAGTGTTGCATTGCAATGCTATAAAGAACAGGATTATTCTGTAGTAGACTTTTCTCAATTTATAACTGTCACTGTATTAAAGATACTTTATTTTAACTTTATTAAAGATACTTTATTATAAGAACTATTAAAATGGCAGTATATGCTTATCATAATCATAATTCAAAATTTTTAAAACAATAAGGGTTCGGTTGAATAGTATTCTTTGCGGTTAATGTTAGTGTTGGTAGTATAATAATATTTTACCTTGCCGAGCTCCCATCAGACTTGTCAATAGCAGAACTGGATCTAAATGCGTCAGCCATGTTTATTCCGCTGTCAATAGATGGTCTTTTCACCAAGTTGCTCTCGAGACTTCCCGCTCTCCCTTTTTGCGATAAGCTGGAATCAAACAAGTAATGTAGAAAAATCTTCCAACATCATATTCGTCAAACAGGATCGTTGCATGCGATGTGTGTTATATGTCCTCACTTTAGGCAGCATAGCGACTGTCATTATTTTCGGTCTGGTTGTGTCGAAAACTAGTAATTCAAGGAAACTAGGTACTTATGTAGAGATTTCATGCACTATCGAGTACATCTGGCTAAATCATAGATTGTGTGCGTTTCGGTGTTTGATTGTAAATTTGTGAGTGTTAAAACACTGGATACCATAACACAAGCTGAATTGTATAAGCACAATTGTTTTCTTACTTCCACAGAATATCCTTATAAACTTTATCACATTACAGCTTGACAGCACGATGTTGACTCTTACTTAATTAGACTAAAGGTACATCATATTGCGTCTCTTTCTACCTTGTAGGATTGTTGTAAGGGCATAATATCTCGTTTCCTCACTCAGTCAGTCTTAATATACTACATCTATTATGGTGCTGTTTCTCGGTACAATACTTGGTTCGAATTCATTGCTCCAAAGCATCACAGTACATTGTGGCGATATCTATACTTAATATAATAAAGCTGAAAGGTTTGTTTGTTTTGTTAAACGCGCTAACCTCAGGAACTACTGGTCCGATTTGAAAAAGTCTTTTGGTGTTAGATAGTGCATGTATCGAGAAAGGTTTATAGGCTACATAGCATAGCGCTACGACTAATAGGAGCGGAGCATCAATGAAAAATGTAACAAAGACTGGAAAAATATTCCATTTGTGACCTTCCGTTGCGTGCGCTGCGATGGTAAAGATTACACAAAAATCATGTATGACGGAATTACTCCCCTTTATAAGTTCTATTTAAAAGACCGGGACAGCATTATTATGTCTATCTTGTAAGGGTGACTCAGTATAACCATTTTCTTCAAATGAATGCGGGCGGCACCTTCTAGTTATATTTAAGGTGCACCACCGCTGTCTCTACTTGACTCGCGGATACTTGTGGCGTAAAGGGTCAGTCACTTGTGTGAGCGCAGAAACACGCCGTCCCGATGCTGTCCAGCAGCTTACTGGGGGAGTAGAGAGGCAGTCACCTGTGCGGGCGCAGGAACACGCCATCTCGATGCTGTCCAGCAGCGTACTGGAGGAGTAGAGGGTAAGTCACCTGTGCGGGCGCAGGAACACGCCGTCCCGATGCTGTCCAGTGGCGCACTGGGGGAGTAGAGGGGCATTCACCTGTGCGGGCGCAGGAACACGCCGTCCCGATGCTGTCCAGTGGCGCACTGGGGGAGTAGAGGGGCATTCACCTGTGCGGGCGCAGGAACATGCCGTCCCGATGCTGTCCAGTGGCGCACTGGGGGAGTACAGGGGCATTCACCTGTGCGGGCGCAGGAACACGCCGTCCCGATGCTGTCCAGTAGCGTACTGGGGGAGTAGAGGGGCAGTCACATGTGCGGGCGCAGGGACACGCCGTCCCGTTGCTATCCAGAAGCATTCTGAAGGAGTAGAGGGGCATTCACCTGTGCGGGCGCAGGAACACGCCGTCCCGAGGCGGCGGCGGGTGGATGCGGTCTAGCAGCGCAGCGAGGCGCGAGTGGCCGGCGCGGCGCGCGGCAGTAGCGGCATGGCGCGCGCCCGCCTCGCACCGCGTGCCCGCGCTCCAGCGAGCCAGCACCACTGCAGTCTCCACGTGTCCCGCAGCGCTCGCCACCATCTGTTTAAAAAAATATAAATATTTGTAATGCACAAGTAACATTCTGTGCTTACTTTGGGGTTAGACAAGTAATAGTCTAACCCCAAAGTAAGCACTGTAAGGCTTGTTTATTTGGATACTCTCGTTGGCCAAATACACCTTGCGGTGACCTGCGTCAACGGAGTTATTAACAGCAAACTACCGCGGCACTGGTAATTGTACGTGGATATAACGCATTTTTTTCCTATCCATCCATCGATAAAAAAAAAGATTACAGATGGATACATATGTATATTTTTATTCAAAAATAGATACAAACATCCATGATTTAGGTACAAAACCAGTGCTTATATTCATCACACCAACATTTGCCTCACCGGGATTCAAACCCAGGATATCTGAGTAGGCGACGCCTTAAAAACCGGCGTACATACCACTCGAGCCAAGGAGGTCGGCGAAATGTTTAGGAGATAACTTTCAATCCATATCAATAAATACATTAAAGAGAGGTAGGACCATAGGTCGGAAATCAAATTGGATTGATTTGGATTTGAAATCCTTATAGAAGACCACAATAACATACCACTATCTTTTGGGTTGTGTTCTGATTCTGTCGGAGATTAAGGTTCCAAGGCTCCACGGGGTACAAGATGAAGTCGAGGTAGACAGCATGAATGATATTTTTGGTATCGCAAGAGTCTATAGGCTATGGCAGCTGCTTACCATAAGGTTGAGTGTAGTAAACATCAGCATCCTTTAATGCTCTCACGGCTGAGACATTGGCCTTCTCAGTGGGTGGATTGTGATTTTGCCATGACCTACCACGCTTGCCTATTTTATATTGTATCTATTCTAATGACTGCAATTGTAGACCTGATAAACAGTTTTACATGCTACCGAAGCAAGGAGGAGCTAGATACAATTAATCTTCTTTGAACAACATAAAAATCCTTACCAATGGTGTACAATTTTCGTTATCTCTCGCCCCCAAATTGACTTCCTTTTCCAAGGCCAGGCTGCTATCGTCTTGTTTCCATCTCAACAACACAGTCGTCAGCTTCGTATACCCTAACGCTGCAGTCAGATGCAGGATCGTGGACCCCTCCTCACCAGGGTCTGTTGTAAATCCTTCCGAGGTCCCGGTAGACCGCGAGCTGAGTGATCGGCAGAAAGTCACCAGTCTCTCTTCAAATTTTGGATTCGAGTAAAGTTGGACGTCTTCAATCTGGAATTTGGAAAAGGTTGTTCAAGTAACAACGTGCTTTCGTTCGAAGAAGGAGACTACATCGGCATTTTGTAATAGATGTAGGACACTGAAGTAGGTCGCTTGAATCACAGCACCCGTCAGTGAAAATAATCTATACCTAACATACCATATAATCATGTTGTGTTCCCGTTGGCGAAATCATGAATGTTTTTACATTAAAAAATTTCACAGATGTATTCAAAGCTACAGTGCATCATCTCATATTTTACCCTGATAAATTACACTGAATACTCTACTCCACAGCGTAGAAAAATGGGCCAGGTCAGGAAGGTGAGTGCTTCAGCTATTTTCGCGACTATGTTCCAAATACCCGGCCACTCAGTAAGTTTTGCGAAAAAAATTTTTACTGGCCACTTGTAATTATTTTGAGAACTTTGATTATTTAAAAGTAAAAATACCACTCGATTTTTAAATTTCCCTCCGCGCTTTTTCGAGAGCCAATTATTTTTTTCTTGTCTCATTAAAATAGATATGCATCGAGAACATTTTCGTGCTATGATTTTTTACGATTTTAAATGTGGCTTAAAACCTGATGAGTCATTTGATCGATTTAGAACTGCTTTTATGGATGAAGGACCTTCAAAAGCAACCATCTACCGCTGGTGTAGCGAGTTCAAACGCGGTCGTCTTACTTTGGAGGATGAACAAAGGAGTGGTCGTCCTACGACGGCTGTCACCGAAGAAACTGTGCTGGCAGTAAAAAAAAATAATTCAAAAAAACAAACGAAGTACGTACGAAGCGAAACAGCATACTCTGCAGATTGGTTCAGAAAGTGTTCACAAGATTTTGCACGAGCACCTTTGCGTAAGGAGGATAGTTTCCCGCTGGGTGCCGCACAACCTCACCGAAGCTTAAAAGCCTGGGCCAGGGATTGGTGCAGCGATATGATACAAAAATTTGATGCAGGCTCGTCACGGCGCGTTTACGATATTGTGACAGGTGACGAATTCTGGATTTATCAATACGATTCAGAACCAAAGCGACAGTTTGGCTTATTTAAAATGAACCAACGCCTACGAAAGTGAAGCGATCGAGGAGCGCAGGGAGAGTTTTGATCGCTAGTTTCTTCACTTTGACGGGGTACCTAATTTCAATTCCACTTCGAGACCAAAGCAGCATTAACGCCGAATTGTATAGCACAAAATGCCTGCCAGAAGTTTTTTATGCAATGAGCAACAAGCGACCTAACACTGGGCTCCACGGGGTTCTTTTTCACCACGACAACGCACCCGCGCACCAGTCTGAGTCTTGTGATTTTCCTTTTTATTCCTTAAAATAAAAAATCAGCTCAAAGAGACACAGTTTTCATCAACGGAAGAAGCGCTAGCAGCGTTTGAAAAGGCCGTGGAAGAGGTGTAGAGGACTGGAAAAAATGTTTTGAAAATTGGTTCAGACGCATGAAACTTTGTATAGAGGCTGGTAGAGAGTTCCTTGAAAAGATTTAATAATTTTTTTTTTTCATAGAAGTAAGTTTTTTAGGTTCTCAAAACTTTCTGAGTGTCCCGCGTATGCTTTACATTAGGAGAGGTAGGCGAAATTTGCTGCATGTTCTATTAAAAATATTTTCAATGGATGGATATAATTATCATGACTATGATAAAGCTACGAGAAAATTTATGTAGATTATGTTCATGATAAATGATACCATCATAACTCCATTTCAAACTTCTCAAAGGCATACTAACATGGTTGTTATCATCCATAGGCTCGCTCTTGATCTGCAAGCGACCGTGCAACCTTTGCAGTCGCTGTAGCAACGTAAACCGCCTAAAGTCTAGCGAGGGCAGCGGAGCTGACGCCGGTGAAGAAGGCGCGGCCGCTGGACCAGCCTTGTACTCGAACACAACAGTGTCGGAGACTACTCGCCCCCCTCTAGCTACCTGGAGTGCAGCTAAGCCCGCTTCGTGTGCTGGAATAAAAGAAAGTTAAAATTTCTGTTAAAAAGTATTTCTATAAGAAGTTTGTCAGCACGAAATCAAACTTTTTAATTTTCAGCTAATATGGAATGTGATATAGTCCAAATGTCAGTGGCTTTAACAGTTGATGGGTATTAAATATTTTTTTGGTGAACTTTCAATCTTGGAAGAGATGCAGATATAATCTAGCGGTGAATAAGCTTCAATAAGTAATTTGATACCCAAGAATGAATATTTATAAAATAATCCAGAACGTACCTGGACAATAACACCTCAACAGGCCATTCTGCACCAATATAGATGGTACCGGGAAGTTATCGAACAACACCGTGTACTGATCCGAGGTCTCCGTCCAGGGCCCTGCTATCAAGACTTTGGCCCCACCCTCAGGGTACGCCCATTCAGGTGAATAGTCCGTTATACTCAGAGTCCCTTCGTTATTATCAGTCTGCATTTTCTCGTTGTTTTCTTCGGCCGGTGGAGATTTACCATGAGTTTGCTGGGAACAGGCAAAATAATGTTTTGAATTGTATTGAATCACAATATTAGCTTAACATGTATTCGGTTATAGAATACTAAAAATATTATTATTCTACCTTTTGTAACGTTTGTCTTTTACATATTTATTATTATATTTAATTTAGAATTAATAAATAATAAAGCCAAATATTAATTATAAGAGCAGTAATCATAAATTATTGATAAATAGAAAAATAAAAAAAATAAACTTATTTTTACGTCGAGTACATTATACTTACGATCACATGAGTTGTTAAGGAACTGGGGTCTAACACTTCCAATTCTGGGAAATCTCCTAACATGTCAAAAGCATCTAAGTTCACAAACACATTATCGTCCACAACATGTGTAGGCGATGCTACCGCTTCACAACTTTCTATGAAGTCCATTGTATCAATTCCTGATACCATAACATTAGCCGTTTCCGACGATCTTACGCTACTTCTATCTAAGCCGCAAGGCATATTAGCTGATAAAGTCTTCTGAATATCCTCATGCGATAATTCCAACGTCTCATCAAAAAATCCACTAGATCCTAAATGGCCATCAGTACCAAGTAATACTAACGTATCATCACAGTTATCCGACAAAACTTTACTTTCTAAACGTTCCACTAAATCTGGATATCGAGAAGGCGTTGCTGGTGCACTTGCTATCATTTGATTCCTACTCTTTGGTTCTATTTTAATTTTCTTATCAAAACTTTCTATTTCTATTTTCTCCTCCACTTGACTTTCAACTTCATAAGAATCTGAATTGTGAAGACATGAAGAAGGTTGACTATCAGGTATCTCTCGTTTTAGCACAAAGGTTGGTTTATATTGCTGCCTGTACCTGTCCCTTGGTTCTTCGCATACGAAAGACGTAACTGATAGTGGGGACACTAGGGAAGAATGCTGCTGAGCTGTATTGCTCGTTCCATTAAGGATCAGTAGACCTCCTCCTCCTTGAATTTGTCCTAACGATAAAAGTAATGGTGATGCTGACTGGGGTGAAGGTCTGTGATCTCTTGTGTACTGTCTGGGTGGTTGCGACATAGGCCTGGGGGAAGGTCCAGTTGTTGAAGAGACATGGTGATCTGAAGGTGGGGGTTTCGCTGCTTGAATGCGTCGTAATGGATGAGCGCAAGTCCTTGAGTCTTGGCAAGTAGAATCTGGACAACCACATTCCAACTGGCGTGCCAGAGCTGCGGCCCTTGCAGCGCGTTGTTTCTCCATAAGTTGGCCAACGATCGCTTCTACCGTTTCTGCCGTCTGGAACATTTTCCCCTGAAATTTCGCAACTAACAATAAATTGTTCTAAAAGTCATAAAATTTAATAGGTGGATAGTCAGTTATTATACTTACAGATATCTCCAATTCATTGTTGATATCCGGTTCATCTTCACTGAAAACTGAAATAATATAGTTCTTTAATAATGTTTTCCGATTAATACTCATTCAATTAACTAACTGTAAAATTGGGAGATACAAATCACTACCGTGCGAAAGCTTTAATTAATAAAATCGAAACTTGCACCCATTTATAAAATAATTATCGGCGTTTACGATAAGGTTGGATTAATACCGCATAATGAAATTAAATTTTACTGCTGATTTCATAAATATTCAACGGAGGGTGCGGAACTTTTCGTGTTTTGCTTTAATTTTCACTGTTTTACATTTATGAAGTTCTGAAAGTGGGATCTTTAATTATGGTCTTGGTATCAGTCATGGTTATGTAAATTTATGTTGATCTAATAGGTCTGATTCCATAATTAATTGAGAATCTAATACTTTATTCATAAGGCCTGTCTTAGATAGGTTCTCATTACGTTTTTTATCACAAATGTTTACTCCGTCTGAAGATCGAGTTTTCAGCTATCACAGGCTGTTGGAAACACCTGAGCAAATTCTCTATGCTTCTTGAATACTGATACAGGTTTATATAAGGCAATTTTCATTCGGAAAATCCTAAGGGTACACGGCAATTTATTTAGAAGGTCATGCAGGTCAGCCCCAAGCGTTACTCATTAAACCTTTTTCTTTGGCTTATATCCCAAAATTATTTTATTTAGAGATAAAACTTAATAACTGATTATAAACAGCAGTAATTTTTATCTTCAATTCAATTTTAAAAAGTTACTGAAATTTATTATGATTAAAGGAAAAATGACCAAAATGTAAGTAAACATGAGGGTGTAATTCACTCACACATGGGCTTCAGTTGACTGACGAGCTCGTCCTTGGTCCATTCTTTCTTGTCGGCCCACAACGCCAGGCTTGGCGCTACTGTCGCCAGCTTGTTGTCGTCTGGATATGGTACGTTCAGGTAGTGCACCAGGACTATATCTGGATTCTGTAACAGGTGCAATAAAGTTATTTTAATGACGTTCGTTTTTCGAATAGTACGTCTTGAAATTGAGATTGTCGTTAGACGTCTTGAGTCGGAGTTGATGAAGAGACATTAACGAAGGTCTCTTCTGATGTGATAGGAATGCCAATTCGTAACCTCATTTTATATTATATGACTGTGTATGTGTATGTATTAACTACATCTGATTAAGACTTAATACAATAGGTTGATTTATGTCAAGATGGATGGATCTGTGACATTAGCGAAAGTTTAAAAGTGATGCCAGAGCCAAAAAGATGGATATATATAATAACTAGAAATATGAAGCATGAGAGAAAGCAGATAAATATCAATATATTAAATGCCTTCAATATTTTTTGCCATTGTATTCTAAAATTTCACTCGCTCAGTCACTCATTTTATCGCTTCTCGATTATGCCGATGCTTACTTTTTAGATGCCACAGAGACCTTACTGAACAAACTTGAGTGCATGCAGAACCTCGCTATCCGTTTTATCTTTGGTCTACGCAAGTATGACCTTGTTTCTAGATTTCGTAAGAAACTCAAGTGGCTTCCTTTTCGTCTGCGCAGGAATGTTAGAATCCTTAGTCTCCTTTTTAATATCCGCTATAATCCACAGTATCTTCCTTACCTCCGTGAACGGTTTTCCTTCATTCACTCTTCAACAGATCCTTGCAGATCCCACCTCAAATCCCTTTTGAAATATCCCACCCATAACACTGGCTTTGCATCCTATTCTTGCTCAGTACATGCCGTCCGTCTGTGGAATTCGCTACCAGCACAAATTAGAGACTAGTTCTGTCTCAGAGTTGACAAAACATCAGAAGAAACACTATTTATCTTCTTGCCCTTAATTTTGCCCTTGTTCTTCTCATTATTTCTTTTCTTGTCGTCCATATTATATGTATGTATGTATTGTCACCAATATCATATTCGTCTGTCTACGTATTTATTCATTATACATGTACTTGTATATATAAACCTATATATGTAGTTCCCATATTTATTAGTATTAACATGTATTTATATTTATATTCAGGTGTACACGCTGACTACCTTTTTTTATATTCTTTCCTACTACGGGCCTACTGGAGGAAATCTTAGATTGAAATAAGTTGTGCCCTTGTTCATGTTATCTTTAATTAAGTTGCTGCTGTATCTATTTTGTGTATATAGAATATATAAATAAATAAAAAAAAATGGGTGCGTGTACTTATGTAGGCGCGTGAGAAGTTATCCTTCTTTGGCATCGTTTAAAATTAGTTTTTAATTGCATGCAAATACTTAATTACAATAAATTAATAAAAAGTCTGGAAAAGGATACAGTCAATAAAGTTCAGTTTTAATTTGAAAAAATAAATAAATAATCAAAATATTCAATTAAAATCGCTACTGAATATAATTTATTAGAACATATGTGATTTGCACTTGTATGAAACTCAAACACGTATTCCGAATATACAAACTAGAAACATGTGGATAAATATTATAAATATGAATACCTATAACTGTTACTTTATTACAAAAAATAAAGATGTGGTTTTTGGTTCTACTACACCAATGGTCAAGAGATGGCGCTGTAGTCTCCTGAATCGCGCTTTGGTTCCGTTGTTCCAGATTAATAAATACTTTTGATAGGCCTTCACAATGCAGTCGTTAGCACCCACTAAATAGAGATTCTATTTCTATTTTGTTGGTAGATTTTCTTAATGTGCGGTAAACACAAAAGTAACGCATGAAGTTGGTCGCTTTAGCCAACTTCCAACTTCATGCTGTTAAAATTTTGTGTTACAGTGATGCGCGCGCATCTTAAAATTTCACTCTCATCATTTTTTCATAACGCGCCTAAAGAAGTATAACTTCAAAAATAGACTGGCTTAAAAGACTGGGAAAATTAAAGAAAGTCATTTCTTTGATTCCTGTAAGCCAGTCCTTGTCTCATGCTTCTTGTCTCTAGTTATTATCTATACCATGTTAGTCACCATTATCTTAATGCTGATGATGCTCTTCTTGGCATTATACGTAGGCCTATTTTTTTATTTAATCATAATAGTAACTAAAAAATACATGGAAACACTTCTTATGTAACAGTATCCACAAAGAAGTTCTGTGCCTCAGCAATGAGAACGTAATTTAAACAATCGCACTAATATTATAAACGCGAAAGTTTGTGAGTGTGTATGTTTGTAACTTCTTCACGTCTAAACGGCTGGAGCGATTTTAATAAAATTTGGTATGGAGTTAGCTGACACCCAGGATTGATACATAGACTACGTTTCACTGCGGGAAAATATCCCTAATAAACCGCGGGTAACACCGTGGGGCACAGCTAGTTATTCATATCTGTCAGACTACCCGAAATATGGATTCTCGTAAACTTAAAAACGACCCCAGAAGCTCGAAAAAAATAAAACTATACAACTTTCACTGCACTCGATTTTATAACACTACTTGAAAACAACAAAAGAGTAAATTAGTCACAAATCTCTGTCGCCATAAATATTGCAGCAGTTAGTCCCAAAATAAAGAAAGAAACAATTTCAGCACAAGATACATCTTAAGATCAGTGACGTGTGAAAATTTACAGCACAATTCATTATTTGAGAAATGTGGAATAACGAGAGTACCTACAGCTCATAAAGTTGGAAGAGAGGAAACGAAGGGACGGCTAACAACGTAGTGCACTTAAACGAGACCTAGGGCTAGCTCCGGTGCTTTTCATGCGTCAAAGACGACCCGCTCAGACTAATTTGGGTCTTTGTGACTTTATTTCAGACTTATAGAAACCCTTTTCTTTATCATATGGCACCTTTTTTGAAGTGATAGCTTCTTTACCTGCGTTGGACACTTTAAGGATAGGACTTAACTAGAGTAAGTGTCACGTTCAGATAATAATTAATAATAATAAATATTTATAAGTGCTGAGGACACAAGACAAAAATCAATAATACAGAAGAAAGAGTATATACATTATGATAATTATATACTTCACAAAAACTAAATTAAATTGATACAATTCTATAAATTTGTTGGAACAGCACTTAACACATTTTTAGAGCAAGCGCACTAAACGCGTCGACAAGCTTCGTCGAGTTTTTTCATACAATTTGTATAGTATCGGCGCAAACTAAGCGTTCGAGTGGCCCTCACTAAACCACTAGCAGTGGCGATCAGTGGCTGCGCCTATTGGCTTGACTGAGCCATTAGTGGTCACGTTTAATGGTCGCTTCTAGTGACTCAATGTGCGCTTGCTCTATTTTTTAGCAGATTACGAAGTCCTGGTTTTGAAATATGCATTTTTAAATTTCGAAAATATTTATGTTGTTTTTATTTGTTTACCTTTAGGAAATTTTGATATGATGATTATTTATATAAACGAAAATGAAAACTCATTAGTGACAGCCCTCACCCAAAACGGTCACTAAATCGACTCGAGCGCAGTTAAACAACATATAAAATAAGTAATACACAATATTTTAATTTCCAACGCGAAGAGTAGAATGTAAAACGGAGTGCAACGTAATAACTATCCATTTGTCTTAAAAATGGTGGCAATAAACATGGCACCATTATTTATGTAATGGCCGCCGCAGGGTTGCCACTCCACACGTGTGTTTTATTATAGTTGTTGTGGTATTTCATTAACTTGCGTTTAACATGTGAAAATATTGTTAACATCGTATATATTAGCTTTCATTCGAAACTCAGTTATGAGTTATTTAAATATAGGAGAATAACTTAGTTATTCTGTTCGGAGTAAATTCTTTATAGGTGTGACATTTTTCTAATAGCTATTTTTAGGGTTTCATGACTACAGGCATAGCTACCCTATAACCGAGCTTCTTAAGTCTCTCCGCCTGACAGCGGCTTTATCATCTACCATATCAGGTTCCGACTTATTCCAAAATGCGGACTAAAGTTAGACTTGAATGTTGTCTCTGACTTTACTACTACTGACTTCTCTGACTAAAGCGACAACATCAGTTTAAGAGAGGTTAAAATTTAGTCTATGTTTAGTAATAACACGTTTAGAGTCGAAATATTAAAAGAATCCATCCAATGTCAATGGCTGTATTTCAAATGCTAAAAGTCACACCATGGTAAAAAAAAACCCCTCGAATCAGCAACTGATTCCCAATTCAGTTGACATGATGTGAGATGCAAAGAAGCCGTGCTGAATTATTTGGTATTGTCTTATGAAGTAAAAATTTAAAAGACGAAATCTAAAAATTGTCACCTTACGCTATGAAAATAATCCTTAGTAAATAAACAATAAGGAATACAATTAGCCTTTTTTCTTCAAGCTCAACCCTAATGAGCACGAGTAAAAACAAAATTGCTTTGAAAAATCAGTTACGAAAATATGGGGACAGATTCTAGTGTTGTGTTTCTTTTGATATAAATAATTAGAAGCCATTATTTAAATTACAATAATAATTGTAGACATTTTCATAGTGAAAATGCTTATTAAAAACTAGCCACGACATACAAACTTCCCTCACTAAATATTACTTGGTACCATCATACAAGATTAATATGGTTATTAGGCGTAAGATGGCGACCTAATTGGCCATGACACGGTGCATTATAGTCATGCAACTGTGATGAAAATGATCGTACGATGATAGAACAGGAGTGTACTGATAGATCGCGCAAAAGCATAGCACAATCGTCCCGCGTTACTGTGCCCGTGCATTGACACGCTACGAATAAGGACACTCAAAAGAGATAGGTGTATTTTGTTATATTTTCGTACGATCGTTATGAAAATGTCTTAGCTCGTGCGATAACTTACGAGCTTTAATTAATTCTGAAGAAATCTGTATGTTTGAAAATCGTTGCATGACGAAAACGCCTAGAGTCATCGTGTGATTGTTATCAATTACGACAAGTTTTTTATAGAAAATCTCGATTCTCGATGCAGCAAATAAATGAAATTGGGTAAATATTTTTATTTAATCATACCACACCGGCCTGCCGA